TTTATTGATAATAATTAGTTAGTTTGCATACAAGCTACCACAGGAGACCTTTAGAACCTTTAGTGAACTCCATTAATCATAATTCATTCAGCCTTTGTTCTTTCACTGTTATGTTACTTTGTTAGTTCATTAATTTCAACAATTTTTGAATTAACAAGAACAGTACATAGGCGGATTTTATAGAGTATAACATTTTTAATTAGGGTCCAGATTTTAATCCATCATAGAACAAAAGTTCTTCGATGTGAGAAATTTACTAATTGAAAATTTTGGTTTAAATTACCCAGTTTTACAAAATTGACTAAAATAATCTGTTGTCAAAATATTTTTAAAAAATACTAGAGGCCTTGTAGTTCAAATGACTTTATTTTGTTTAGAACAATATTGCGAAGGTAAAAGTTTTGATCGCGTGTTCCAATTCGTGTGTGAGTCACTGTATATATAACTATTCACCGATTTTGAGATAATCAAACTTAGTTTTACTATTGAGTTTTATTTTCACGTTGCAATAATGATTACTATTCAACTTTGTCCAACATTCGAGATCGGACAAAATTTGCATTGGATATCCAATTTTTGAGATGCGAGATTATTTAACTGTATTATGTTTCTGGCGATTATGAGATAAGTAAAATTGACTACAAAATATGTGAATGAAACAACTCATTTTTGACCAAAAAGTGCAGATCCCTCATTTCTACTAACGGCCGCCCGAATATGGGCGAGAGCTTTACAATCGGGATTGTATGGAAGGTAACTGGTATATGGTGCATACCATCTAAAGGCATCAAACGTTTTATTTTATGCTCAGAAAGGGCCTATTCTATCATATTTACGGATTAAATGTATTTACTTCTTAGTAAAGAAGTTTATCCATTTTATAAAATACAAATGTTTGATGACTAGATAGTGTGCACCATATATATACAAAAACTACGACGAAGACAAATCAGGGTCATTTATCAATGATGCAGTTTGGGTTTGTAATACAAGACCACATGTTCGCACATCACTGGTAAAATCACAAGCATATTCTTAATATTGAAGCATCGTGTTTTTCAATTCATTTTCTTTTTACTGAAGCATCGTGCTTTTCATTTGAAGCATCGTGCTTCTCATTTTCTTTTTATTTGAAGCATCGTGCTTTTCAAAAAGACGGAAATACGATTTTGCAGAAATTTTTTCTTATAAAATGACAATGATTTCAACTTACTCTGACCAAACAAAAACCGAAAAATAAACAAATTAAAGTTTTTATAACTAATAGCAAATCGATAATTTTCAATCATGCGACAAAATTCTATTTTTGCATTTATATTGGCTACGCTTTCAATGGTCAGTGCTATGCCAGTTGCGGAGAGAAGTTATCCAATTGCGGAGAGAGGTTATCCAATTGCGGAGAGAGGTTATCCAATTGCGGAGAGAGGTTATCCAATTGCGGAGAGAGGTTACCCAATTGCGGAAAGAGGTTACCCAATTGCGGAGAGGAGTTACCCAATTGCGGAGAGGAGTTACCCAATTGCGGAGAGGAGTTACCCAATTGCGGAGAGAGGTTATCCAATTGCGGAGAGAGGTTATCCAATTGCGGGTTAAGGATAAGCCATTAGTGGCGACATGTTAAATTGGTCGAACACGCGATCAAGCTAAGCCGCAACTTATAAACGAACTTTTTAATAAATTAATTTTTTAATATATAATTCCACACAGTTCACAATATATTATAATTTTTAACTTGTCATTAATATCAAATAAATTAATTACGTTCATACTACAGTGCATGACACTTAAGACTGAAATAAAATTGATAATCTTTGAAAGCTAATATAATCGGTAATTAATGAGACATGCCAAATAAAAACGTGACTTGTATCAACCAATCAAATTGTATCAAGTTATCTTTAACCAATCAAATTACATTATATTAATTTGTTATATTAATTATAAAATATACAAGAAAAGTTTCACTTGTTAATAAATATGTCATGTGACTAGTGTTCCTATGAACCGAACCGAACCGAACTTAACTTTTGTCTGGCTTCGAGTCTGATTCGAAATTCGAACCGAACTCGAACCGGACTTTGGCTTGAACTCAAAAAAGATTCGAAGTTCAAATCGAACCCAAGCCGTTATACAAGTTCAAGTCCGATTCGAGTTTGATTCAAGATCAGCATATAGTATCATATACTTATTTGTAGCTCTAAACATGAGCTACAACTTTACTTATGAATATAATTTATGGTATTTAGTAATAATTAAAAGTTTATATAGTGATAACTAAAGTATTTTATTTTTATATTTATTAAATTTGATTGTAAATACTATATAACTTCTCTGAATAATTTTTATTAATGATAATTATCTTATATTAATTTGTAGCTCTGATTTCTAACTACAACTTTACTTATAATTGTAGTTTATAATTACTATATCAAAATAAATATTTATTATATATAACTAAAATAGATTAAAATCATAATAATTAAAAATATTTTTTAAATCTATATAACTTTTTGAATATTAATTCTAAATCTTAACTATCTTATATCAATTTGTAGTTTTGATTAAGATATACAACTTTACTTAGAACTTTATCAAATATTTACTTGAATTTTAATCAGATTTTTGATCAAATTTGAGTCAAATTTGAAGTTTAAATTAAACTTTTAATTGAATTCAAATTTTCAGACCAGACTTTTAATCAAGTTTGAGCCTGATTCAAGCTTAAACTGAACTAAAAATAGGATTATAATTGATTGCAACTTGATCACAATTCTTTGATTGACTATTACAATTAATCATAATTAAATTATAATTCTCTAATTAAATATTACAAGTCACAATTAATTAAAATATCATCTTTAAACTGAACCAGATTTTTTTTAAAATTCTAAAATTGTAACTTTTCAAAAAACATTGCAAAAATATTATAATTTACTAATTGTTTTAATTAATTGAAAATATTAAAAATTAATTTTAATATTAGAATTAAGAATTAGAATTAGAACTAGAAAAAAATTATATATAAAATTATTTTTCTGATATTTTTATTAGTATTTTAAGTCAAATTTAAGTATTCATTTTTCATATTTTTTATATTATTCCTTTTTTATATATATTTTTATTAATTAATTTAGAAAATTCAATGTGCAATTAATCAATTAGTAATAAAAATTACTTGTATTTAATTAAAACTTGTAAGAAAAATTAATAAATATAAATATTAAATCAACTTTTTAAAATTTAAATTTCAAAATAAAATAAATTATATAATTCAAATTTTTAAGTATCATATATTATAATATTATTAATTGGATTATAATCAAACTTCTCTATAATCACATCTATTTATAGTCACACTTCTCTATAATCATCTTGTTTTATTTTTCTATTTATATATAAATATAATAAAAAAATTTCTTTATAGTCACATTTTCTTTATATTTGCTTTTCTAAGAGTGATAATTATAAAGAGAAATTTGACTATATATTAAATATAATTTAATATTATATTATTGAATTACTAGATTTAGTAATTTTATAAGTTCAATATAATTCAATTTAATAATTACTAGCTATAATAATATAAAAATACTATATATATATTATAATTTTAATATTTTTGAAATATATATCAGATTGATAATAATTCTAAAAAATTTTACTATAATATTAAAAATTAATTTTAAAACAAAAATCAAAGTTATATTATTGTATAATAGAATTTCACATTGTTGTATAATGATCTTTTGTCATAACATTTTATATTATTAGATTATACATATTTTATATCTTATTAAATAAAGATCAAATCACATAAAGTGAGTGAACAAGTGAATGAGTGAACAAACAAATGAATAACTAAATAAATGAATGAGCAAATGAACAAATGAATAAATATTAGATCAATAGAATTTAAGTAATATAGTGAACATGAATTCGTATAACTGATAAATTATATCTTGAATTTGTATAAAAACAACATGTATCATAGTTATTAGAATTAGATATGAACAAGTTCTTTTAGATAGTAATTCCCAATTATCACGTCTAATTAGTTATCACGTAGTTTTG